TACAACTTTACGGGGAGCATCTGGGGAGCTGGAAGATGAGAACTGACTGGCGACTTTCTAGTACAACTTTAGCACGCGGAACAACCTGTGGAGCTGGAAGCTGAGAACTGGCCACTTTGTAGTACAAGTGTAGTACGCGGAGGACTCATCTCTCGCTGCTGAGTCAGCTCTCGCTGCTGTGAGTCATCTCTCGCGACTGAGTCATCTCTCGCTGCTCAATTATCTCTCGCTGCTTGCTGCTGAGTCATCTCTCGCGGCGTGCAGGTTTGGCACAGTTCATACTGATAGTATTTGGTTGCATTTATGCAGGACAGGACACTCAACTGCTGGTCAATACACCACTCAGCATACACCACTCATCATACACCACTCGTCATACACCACTCATCATACACCACTCGTCATACACCCCTCTTGTCGTGGCAAAGATACAACCCAGTACGCTGTTGTGAGCTGCTGATCCTGCAGGGGGCACACACACCTTACACACGTGGAATCCCGTGGGTCAAAAGTCCGGAGCGCGTGCGTTTGACTGGAGGACGCGCATGTTGGAGAGAACGTGGACACTCCTATAGGTCAATTTGTTCTTATAGGAAACTTCCGCCGCCGGCTTGCCCGGGAACTACTTGTAAGGACCACGATATTGTGGTTCTCGGGGATGATAGGAACATTCAATTGCTCGTGGATGAATTGTCAAAGAAGCTTAGACTTAAAGTAAAGCTTGAAGAAGACAAGATTAGAGATTCTTGGGAAAAGTGATCGAGAAAGAAGAAGATGGAACGATTGCCTTGTATATGGAAAAGGAGTACTACGAAAGCATGATGTCCTTGTATCCTGGAGGAAAGGAAAGTCAGGCAACGCCTAATCTTTTTCAGCTCTATGATCGAGATCGAGAAGAGGACAAGAAGCCGTTGTCGCCCGAAGCGGCATCAACGTTTCGCACAGCATTAGGAAAGTTAGGTTGGGTAGCTCAGTCAAGACCCGATCTTTGTTGGTTGTGTTCAATGCTTGCTCGAGGACAAGCTCAACCACTTGCAGTTCATGAGGCAGCGATGCGTGCGAGTATCCGTTACATCCGTTCTGTATCCGATCGGAAGTTGAAGTTCAGAAGCTGGAGTACTCAGGCGTCCCAAGCATTACGACCTATGTCGATGCCAGTTGGGCAGCCGAAGTCAACGAATAGGAAGAGTACTTCAGGAGCAGCTATCTTCGTTTGTGAGTGTTGCATTAAAGCCTACAGTAGATTACAGCAAAGCGTAGCCTGTAGTTCAGCCGAAGCAGAGCTGTACGCTTTGTTCGAAGGAGAGAAAGAGACTATAGGTATCCAACATGCTGTAGCACATGTTTTTGGTTGTCAAGTTGAAGAGTTACCAGTACCGAACTTGCTTACGGATTCGATGGCAGCCCGACATGTGATTGAGATGTCAGGGTTGTTGAGAAGATTGGGACACATCGGTATTCGGCTCTGTTTTTTGCAGGATGCGGTCTACAAAGGTGTGATTTCCATCACATTTGTTCGAGGTACAGAGAATTGTGCCGGCCTGATGACCGAGGCATTGTCGAGAGCCGTTACGTTGCAGCGCATGGAGAAGATTGGAGTTGGTCGAGGTTTTCTGAATACGTTCGATATTCCGTGTGATTGGATCGGAAGGTTTCGTGTAAGAGCCTTGTGATTGTTGAGTTCTGCACGTCACCGGAATCCGAGATGAAGGCTGAAGGAGAACGTTTGGAAGGTGTTGAAGTCTTAGCCGATTACGGAGGCAGATGACGGAACCCGTACGGATACGATCGAGGAGACAAGAGAAGCTATGTTGAGTCCCAAGAAGAAAGGTAAGCTTGTTGTCTTATGGTCGTCGACTCCGTGCACCGGAGGATGTCCGTTTCAGTATATTTGTCTCAAGAAGTTCGGTCATCTTCGAGAGTTATATCGGATCCAAAGAAGCTTTGGAAAGGTTTCCTGCAGCTAGATCTGGGTTCTGCGAAACTGAGTCCTGTTCTAGGAGCTTCTACGAAAACGTGCCATTCTGGGCTCGAAAAACTGCATGACTCTTATGTGGTTAATTCGGCTTTAAATCCTTTAAGGATTAGCTCGCAAAGCTTCCTGGGATAATGCTGTGTCTCCTTCAATTGACATCTTTGGACGGCAAATGATCATGGTGACCATCACAGACACATACCTTGAGACTTTCAAGTAAACGGGTGCTATCAGTATCTATTCTCCACGTCTTTTTGACCAATTGATTCTTCTGCATCAAATCAACTGAACACGCTTCAACAAAGGTGGAATATAGAGCCCTCTTTCTCAGAAACTCTTTCGTCTGATTCCATCCCCAACAAGCGGTGTGAGAAGGTCTATTTTCCAGTGAGTGGGGGCAAGGTTAATTTGAATGCGTCTTGCTCAGGCATGGTCGCACCAATGTCTAAGGACCTGTGTTCGAAATGTCTGTCCTCATCGAAGAAGAATATGAAGGCTTAAAGTCAGCCAGTTGTTCCGAGCGAAATGTCCAAGAGGGGGTGAAGAAATCCATTTGTTGGATGGCCACCTCGCTCGTGTTTGTTGTTTGGTTTGGTTTTGTTGTTTTGTGTTGTTTGGGACGCTGTGGTTTATTTCTTGAAGGTTTGAAAGAGTGCTTTAGCGTTTTCGAGTGTTTAAAAGCTTTTTGTAGAGAGTTGCTTGTGTGATGTATACATATGTACAGTTTTTGACACGACTGTTACTTTTGGCTCAAATGTGTGTAAAAAGGCGCGAGGGAGTGCACTGCGTCAGCTTGAATTGTTGTTTGTTTCAAGAGTAAAATGAGGCTGTGAGAACGAGTTTTGGAGTGTACCGGACCCATCGAGTGAGCCTGCTGTGAGCTTAAAGATCCAGGGGAAGTGTAGTTTACCGTAGGGTCTGCTACCCACGTTTTTCGGCATACGCCAAGATGACACTGGTGACAGCTCTGTCGCTCTTCGAGGAGGACAAAGGAGGAAGCTGAGCGTCCACAGAAGGAGAAGGATGAGAACGATGAGGCTTGGTGGATTCGGCCATTGATCACCATGATGTGTTTGGCGAGCATCGGGGCCTTGAGCTTGGCACGGATGGCAGCAAACGCCTTGAGGACATGGTGCCATGGGAGACGAATTTACGAAGGGCCCATCGAGAATGAGCAAGATGAAGCAAGAGATGCTAGAGCGGCCGGGCCGCGTGTGAGAAGTGCAGTACATGGAGGTGAAACTCAACCAGAACAGCCCCAGCACGAGGAGGACCAGGAGAAGGTCAAACATGCAGTGGCAAATCATTCACCTGGAGGTAGCTGTGGCTGAGCAGGAAGAGAAGCTGAAAAATGTTCGAGAAGATCGTGCCATGCAAGCGAGAGAAGTGGTCAGGATGTATAACATGTGTGCGGACGTACGCTTTGAGCTAGAGGTCGTGAAGGATGAAAGAGATGAAGCAAAGAGGAAGGCCATTAGATTGGCTGGGCCAAGAGATGAAAGAGCAAAGGAAATGGAAAGGATGGCAGAAGATGCGGCCGGAACTATGGAAGAAGAGAGCAAAAAAATGTGAACAAGAAACCAAGGAAGAAGTGGCTGAACAGTTGCGAACCGCTCGTTCCACCTTGGAGCGCAAGCATTGGCCGATAGGCAAGACTAGCAATTGCTACCACCAACTTGGGTGTGGACATTTGGCCATAGTGCCACGACCAAGATGCTTAAGCCATGCGCTCATTGTGTTCCAGAAACCATAGGGGCGGTGTTAGAATCTGAAGCATTTCCAACGAGTTGATGGCATGTTGGAACACACTAGGATCCACGTTGTGCACACAAGGCCCAAATAGCTGTGAAAGGGCGCAGCACGCTTTGTTTCACCGTGCCAAGTGTGAGACCATGCCAAGAGAGTCCGCGCAGGACATGCAATTTATTGTCACTCATGAGTGTGCAAAAAAGGACAAAATGGAGGTAATGAAGCTACTAGAGGCTCCTGGCCTTCCTACCAGGAACAAGGATGCTATTTAAATGGGAACAAGAAACTACTAGTATGCACGAGACGACCCGAGTCAGCAGCATCGGAGCAGCAACTCATGAGGTCGAGGTGCCAAAACAAGCGAAGGCAGCGAGGAGAATCGCGGGCAAAGGGCGGGGAAACTCCTCCAGAGGTTGACCGACAGGCAGTCCATCGCAGTGGACTCCAAATTATTGTTCCTAGTAGCGTCCTTGCTCCTAGTAGTACGGCCAGGAGCCCCTAATAGCGTCCTTGTAGCAAAAAAACCGACCGAACAACCAGTCTTATTGCACCTCTGGTGCTCCATGGTGGAGATGGCAAACCATATCGCGGCGTACAGCTCGAAGGCTCTGCCCGCAAGCAAGAGAGACTTGTGTTCACCATGTGGTTGAGCCTCTTCCTGGATGTTCAGGCTACAGATGCGGATGTGGTTGAGGATTGGGGATGATATCTCTTGTATCGCTCTTGCTCTTTTACCCTGATAGTCACATCGCCCTGTTGACTGCTGAACATCGTTAAGAACTGGCTGCCGCCCTCCGAACGCTTTCTCATACCCTGTCCTCCCTCTCGAAGGACCGGGGTTCAGAACCCGAGGTTGATACCAGAAGTTTTTGGTTCCGGCGATTGTGTTGCCAAGTTTGTCTTCACCGTCTCCATGCGATTTTTATTTCATCACTCTCCCACTTTCGTGCCAGCTCTTTCTTCATCGTTCCCACTCTTTGAGCACAGCCTGGTTTAGACTTTTGTGCGTTTGATTGAAGTATTGAACCTGTGGTATGACATTTCGACAAGTGGACTAACATTCGTTCTTCATTTGTTTTTGGGTTTAAGACATGACCATTTTCTTCCGTCAGCGTCAGTTTTTCAAGAACTATTGGCAAATGAAACATTGATTGTCTACAAGTGGGAAGCGCAGGGCTCAGTTTTATCTCAAAGACACCAACACCACAAGAAAACTTGAGTGCACATGGATGATGGAACCTTTCGTTTCATCAGTCCGACTGGTTACAGATGTGTGGGGCGCTGTCCGAAGCATCGATCGGCCGTTTTCGGGTTTCGGGGTTTGAAGACTTGGCCGTGGCATCATGTTGAGCATCCAAAAGGAGCTTGCTTCCAGGCGGGGAGGGAAAGAAGTGGTTGTATGACACACGCCCTTTGGGCCTGGAAATTGTTTCCAATATGTTGGTGGGTCTTTGCTCTCACAATTGAAAGCAATGGGCTGTCAGGTTCCAAGTGCATCATCGTTTTTTGCCCAGTTGGTAGCCATTGGACAAAAACGAAGGTGTATGTAATGTAATATAGATGTAAATGTAAACGTAAATGTAAATGGACACGTAATGTTTTGTTATGTACAGTAATATAATGTAATGGTATGGTATGGTATGCTATGTATGTCCAACAGGTTCGTGTTAACGTTCATGTTGAAAGGTTCATTTTGGGACTGACCAGCAGACACGTTCCAACATTTCGGCGCCATTGCTCCATAGTTTTGTATGTGACTTTGTCCCAAACTTGCCCAATGATTGCAGGGTGTTGCAGAATGGGTGTTCTTCCGGTTCATTTTGATGTCTGCAATGTTCCACGCTTCTGTAACCGCCCGGCCCGCTACGAGTTTCGTAGATCTGCAGCCCATAGATGAGGGACACTACAGAAGACTTGCAAGATGTTTCGGATATCCTGACGTTTCCGGAAGATCGTTGGACCTCTTTTTTTGGGAGGCCTTTTGTTTTAGCCAACTCACAGATCCTTGGTTTCCAAACCGAGACCTGGTTTTCAACCCATCCACCACTGCACAGGTCTTTAGCGCCGTCTCTGCGTGTGGTGCTCGCCTCTGCCGCTTTGCGCAGCCTTCGACGGATACCCACCCGTGGCTTTGCCTCCCGACGGAGCGAGCAGAAGACGAAGGATTCTGAAGGGCAAGGCGAAAGTGCTCAAAGTGAAGAAGAATCTTGGATGAATTTTATTGTTGCGGGTTGGACATTGGTTGTTGAAGAACTGGCTAATGAGTGGGGATCGTATTTGCGCCTTGGGTTACTTCCAGCTGCTTGCCCGGCTGGAGGTGATCGTATGAATCTCCATGATCGACAATTTCATTTTGACAGATTGTGGTAATGTGTCGTCGCTTCAGATATATAGCCTCTTAAAGACCGTTCAAAGCTGGATCATGTTGCAACATTACACACAAACACAAGCCTTTTGAATACTTAGAAGACACAGAGGGAAAGCTATGGCTGTTAGTCAAAGTTGAAGATGAATGCAGATTGTTTTTTACTGGGGGGCGATTTTGCACCAACGGCTCTTTATCGGCTTCCAATTGAAGAATGCAATGAAAGAACTGATTGAGCGGCAACTCCACTTTCGATTTAACCCCCTTTCCGTATGTATTCATTAATCCAGAAAGCTTCTTGTTTCTGCGCTTGGCCCAGGCTGCCCAACCCCAAGCGCAAACCTTTGGCGAAAAGTTCGTGGTCTTCGGCCTGGCACTGCGTGGCATGGCCTTGCTGCCGCGCTTTGCTCCAGCTGCCCAGCTGCTGCGTGTGGCTGGCGTGGGGCCCATGGCAGTAGGAGCGCAGTGAGGGTGAGACGAGACAACCTTCCGACAACCGAACCACATCCACGTAGGGCACGGAGATTGTCTTTGTTCTTGGAAGCTTCCGCAGAAAGTCCCCAACGATTCGCGGCTGTATATAATGTTGTCGGTTTCCGGTTTTTGTCTTTTGTTCTTTTGTTTGCGACATCCCCTGATGAAGCCTCAACTTTACAGAGATTGGCTTCAGGTTTGGTGAGCCACAGGTTCCATCAATGGATGTGATAGAAGTGCTGTCCTTCCTGCGGTTCACATCAGCTTCCTCTAGGCATGAAACGCATGAATGGGTGTTTGCACAGCAATGGCCTCCAACCTACTAGCGATGGCCTCCAACAAATTTGTGGAGAGATGTTTGGGCCTCATTTGGGCAAATAAAACATAACATATTGTATATTAGGTTGGAGGCCACGGCTAGTAGGTTGGAGGCCATCGCTAGTAGGTTGGAGGCCATCGCTAGTAGGTTGGAGGCGGTTGCTACTAGGTTGGAGGCCATCGCTAGTAGGTTGGAGGCCGTTGCTATTAGGTTGGAGGCCATCGCTAGTAGGTTGGAGGCCATCCCTACTAGGTTGAAGGCCATCGCTAGTAGGTTGGAGGCCACCGCTAGTAGGTTGGAGGCGATCGCGACTAGGTTGGAGGCCATCCCTAGTAGGTTGGAGGCCATCGCTAGTAGGTTGGAGGCCATCGCTAGTAGGCCGGAGGCCATTGCTCTTAGGTTGGAGGCCATTGCTAGTAGGTTGGAGTCCATTGCTCTTAGGTTGGAGGCCATGGCTAGTAGGTTGGAGCCCATTGTTCTTAGGTTGGAGGCCATTGCTAGTAGGTTGGAGGCCATCCCTAGTAGGTTGGAGGCCATCGCTAGTGGTTTGGAGGCGATCGCTAGTAGGTTGGAGGCCATCCCTAGTTGGAGGCCATCGCTAGTAGGTTGGAACCCATTGCTCTTTGGTTGGAGGCGATCACTAGTAGGTTGGAGGCCATCCCTAGTAGGTTGGAGGCCATCGCTAGTAGGTTGCAACCCATTGCTCTTTGGTTGGAGGCGATCACTAGTAGGTTGGAGGCCATCCCTAGTAGGTTGAAGGCCATCGCTAGTAGGTTGCAACCCATTGCTCTTTGGTTGGAGGCGATCACTAGTAGGTTGGAGGCCATCCCTAGTAGGTTGGAGGCCATCGCTAGTAGGTTGCAACCCATTGCTCTTAAGTTGGAGGCGATCGCTAGGTTGGAGGCCATCACTAGTAGGTTGGAGGCCAGCGCTATTAGGTTGGAGGCCATCGCTATTAGGTTGGAGGCCATCGCTATTAGGTTGGAGGCCATCGCTATTAGGTTGGAGGCCATCGCTATTAGGTTGGAGGCCATCCCTAGTAGGTTGGAGGCCATCGCTATTAGGTTGGAGGCCATCGCTATTAGGTTGGAGGCCATCCCTAGTAGGTTGGAGGCCAGCGCTATTAGGTTGCAACCCATTGCTCTTAAGTTGGAGGCGATCGCTAGGTTGGAGGCCATCACTAGTAGGTTGGAGGCCATTGCATCTAAAGAGGAGCCGTTGTGAGTTTGTACGAGCTGGGTGGCTGGCCGCTGCTATTGGCGGTCCCCGGCACGGCGACGCTGGCCCTCTCAGCACCTCAGAGACAGAGAGATTGGGTCGACTGCTTAAGTTTCAGGGTGGATAGAGCTTTATGGAAGTTGACTCGTCACATGAGATTCATGAGATATCAGTGATATTTCATGATTGTCCACTTTCAGTGCATCGCCTCTATGGGAGATTTCGAAAGATCCCACTGTTCCTCTGCCGATCACAGGCGACCGAACCAATTGAGGCGTCTGTGCTTGTGGAATCCAACTTGGAAGAGCAGCTGCGGGCGGATGTGCTGCAGCGCCTGAGCCCTTTGGCGTCAACGTCGGGTGTTGAAGAAAGACATGAGACAAGCCATGCACTTGGAGCCGCACTGTCAGTAGCTCACACATGGCCACTGTTGGTGATCCCGCGGGTGGGAAATAGCTGGACAGGAAGGAAAGGAGCATACCAACGGTTAGATTCAACACGTGAAACAGGCGAAGCAAGACGATGCACCGCCTTCCCGCCCAAAACCCGCCAGGTGATGAGGTGCCTCCTGCGCTGTTGGAGGCGCTGCGCTCGGCGGAAGTGAAGAGCTTCGAGACCAACCGCTGCAAAATCGAGGCGCCAGTGCCTGTCCTTGAGGGAGTGGCTCTGTGCAAAAACGCTTTGTCTGATGGAGCAGCGGTGGGAGCTGCTTGCTTCGTGCATGTAATCAAGCACCGGCTGGTGGGCACTGCGGACTGCTTGTAGTGGGAAAGGAGATGGATGCAGTGAAGATGGCTGGAGGATGCAGTAGTAAAGGGCCAAGTGACCTAGACCTAGCGTCTACACGATCTACATTTATATTGGAAGCTTCGGAGTTTTCATTGTTGGAGCTTTGGAGTCATGCCGCGAGAAGCCCCACTTGCGAGCGCTCTTTTTTGGGCCGTGGATGTCTCCGTTCCGTTCGTGACGTGTCGGCGAGGCGCAAATTCGTGATGGCGGCGTGTCTTGGCACCTGGAGGTCCGAGCGGAACGGAGGCGCGGTCGCCGCTTCGCGGTCGAAGCGGCGCGCTCTGCGAAGCGGCGGTCGAAGTGCGAAGCGGACGAAGCGGTGGATGCTCGGAGGGACACAGTTGAGCTGGTCAGGAGCTTTCCGTTGCAGTGGCAATTGACCAACATGCAGGTGTGTCTTGATCTGCAGTTGGGCGAAGCAACCAATTTTCGGCGCTTGTCTTTTGACTTCCCATGGAGGCCCACAAAGCTGGGACACGACAGAACGTGCACATCGGTGCACTTCGGCATCCAAGGCGCACAGGGCGTCCCTCGAGCCAGAAAGGGCTGCCGCCACAGACCAGAGATTGGAAGCCACAGGAAGAGCACCTGGAGTAGGAAGCCTCAGGCGGAGGCAGACCACCAGGTCGTGGTTCTTGGAGCATTTTGTAAGCTTTGGGGTGGAAACATTGAAGGGAATGAGTACTGTAGATTCTGAAAATTTCTGGTATAGCCACTTGTCCAGTGCTTCAACTTCGAAAGTTGGAAAGCAACCTCTGGGCCTCGTGCTTTCACTTCCCGTCGTTCCCGTACGGGGTGAAGACGGCTTCAATCATCCAACATATTGGGACTCGGACGCAAAAACAGAGACATCGGACGCATGGTAGCGGTCCGATCGCTCCGTTCGTAGCGGTGCCCGAAATGCTCCGTTCGTAGCGTCCGATCTCTCCTAGTAAGGCCAGGAGCCCCGAACGTAGCGTCCTTGCTCCTAGTAACTAGTAGCATTGTAGCATACTAATCCTGGAACTGACATGTTGAAGGAGGCTTCAAAGGACCTGCAGACCAAAGCATGGTCGGCTTCGCAGTGACTGCTGAGGTGGACCACAGTGGCCATGAGCGAGTGAGAAACGCCCAGCTTGGACCTCTGTGTTTTGCGACGGTGTCTCAGTGAACGGCTCTTGATGGGCCGTCGAATTAGAGGAAGTTTTCTTCTTTCTTTTCCTTTTCTTTGTTTCGACCTTTCTTTCTGCAAATTCTTTACACCTCTCCCAGTCTACCCTAGTTTATCCTTTCCTCCTTGCTCAGGCCTTGCTTGGACGTTCACCTTCCATCTTCGTGTCATGGATGTCATTCGTCCAAGGTCTGACGAACAACGTGCGGCGAGCGAGGGCCCGTCGACCGTGGCGCTGGGCCTATGGCCTTTGGGAGGATACCATCGATGAGAGGGAAAGACTTTGCCTCCAACATAGAAGAAATGGCCTCCAACTAGAAGCGATGGCCTCCAACCTAGTAGCAAGACTTTGCTCCTTCCCCACTCTCCTTCATGCTGCTTACCAGACATGACACTTTAGCTTTTGTTGCCCTTGCCCCCCAAGAATTGTCAGACAAGACCTTGTCCAAGTCCACCAGGCGCCATTTGCCCTGTCAATTTACTGCTTTAGGACATGCTGTGAAACAGCTCTGAGGGTTTTCAAAACCGCCTGGTACAGGATGCACGAGGCATGGCGGTGCGCAGCAAGCTCAAAGATCAACAAAACATGTGTGGGTGTGTGGTGTCATGGAGAAGACAACAAGTCTTCCATCACAGGTCGTTTAGCACGTGCCCCGAAGGCCGCCGGTATGTTCCGTAGTTGTGCTAGGTAGGTGGCAAGAAGGTGTAGGAACAGAAATTCGGCCAACTTTGCCAGAATTCTTGTGTTTCTATCGCTCGAAGAACAGTATCTAGAATGGATCCCAGTGGGCCACGTCACATATCACATATCACGTCCAAAATATATAGATCAGCCAATGAAAGACTAGAGCAGAATTTACCACATGAGTGGGAAGAGAGAATGGTTTTGTTTGGACGGTTGCTCATTATCCTCAGTGTTGGCTCGAGCAAGCCAGGAACAGGCCTCTCCCATCAGGTGAGGACGGGCTAGAACACACTCTTGCCTCCACACACCTTGGAATTCAATCATTTGGTTTAGGAAGGAGGCCATCGCTATTAGGTTGGAGGCCATCGCTATTAGGATGGAGACCATCGCTATTAGGTTGGAGACCATCGCTGTTAGGTTGCCATTGCTATTAGGTTGGAGGCCATCGCTGTTAGGTTGAAGACCATTGCTGTTAGGTTGGAGGCCATCCCTAGTAGGTTGGAGGCCATCGCTAGTAGGTTGGAGGCCATCGCTAGTAGGCCGGAGGCCATTGCTCTTAGGTTGGAGGCCATCACTAGTAGGTTGGAGGCCATCGCTAGTAGGTTGGAGGCCGTTGCTAGTAGGTTGGAGGCCATCGCTAGTAGGTTGGAGGCCGTTGCTATTAGGTTGGAGGCCATCGCTAGTAGGTTGGAGGCCATCCCTACTAGGTTGAAGGCCATCGCTAGTAGGTTGGATGCCATTGCTATTAGGTTGGAGGCCATCGTTACTAGGTTGCAGACCATCGCTATTGGGGTGGAGACCATCGCTGTTAGGTTGGAGACCATCGCTGTTAGGTTGGAGGCCATCGCTGTTAGGTTGGAGGCCATCGCTGTTGGGTTGGAGGCCATCGCTATTAGGTTTGTTTGGTGTCTCACGGAATCGACTCAGGTGATGGGTCCATGTTGAAGACAGGCGTCTCTTGCAGCGCCGTGCATCATGGGGAGAGACTGCAAGGGAGGATTGATCTGGAGAATTTACGATGGATTGAAACATTTGCAAATGTTACATTTGTTGAAGTCATGTACATGTCACCTTCTTGTATATGAGATGATATGAGTATGAAGCTTCATCTGAGGATCATTCCTTTGTTGCTTAAGCATTTTGCTGATTTGCTTCGTCCCGCCAGCTTTATCATTGCTGTTGTGCTCAGCTCGGAGACTCAGACACTGTGGACACTGTGGTCCTTGAGACATCGGTGAGATCCTTTTCCGCATCCGCCCCGGACATGAGGAACGATCGGACAAGGAGGGGTGACATATGACATACGACTGTGTCGGTATATTCTGTCAACTCACCATGCTGGTCATTCCGGGAATGGAGATTTCAGGTACTTCTGAAAGTTTATGTGGCTCATTTGGCGTCTTTGCAGTCTCTACATCTGGAGAAACACTCAAGTGTAGGAAACATGACACTGCAGAGTTGTGGTCAAAATTTGATGGCAAACCTTCCTTGACTTTGTTCTCTCAAAGATCACTTCATTCTCTCAATAGTCTCTCGATTGTGAGCAAGTGCGCTAAAGAAAAAACGTGCCGAAGAAGAACGCAGATGAAGCTCACCATGGGAAGCTGACCGCGTTCTGTTGCACTTCATGAAGCACCTCACCGTAGCGGTTAGAACGATCCGAAGATCCGGCTGGCCCTCCGGCCCAGGCGGAGCGGAGCTTCTTGGAACGAAGTTGGGAGGCCCCAGCGGTCACGTTGGCGGTCCCGTTGGGAGAAACTGCGGGACCTTGAAGGTCTCCACCGAGTGCCATCCTTGCTATGCTTGTAGCTTCTTGTTACTCGAAACTGGACACCTTGGCGGTGTGGGGTTCGGTGGAGTCTGAGACGAAAAGGCATGGGGTGATGAACTGCAGGACAAGAGTTGTGCAGAACTTGTGCGGAGTGTGGGAAACATTGGAAATGATTTGAGACTCCATCCGGATGGTATATCTTTTGCGGCATGGGCATGTTTCAAGGGTTTCCTTCAACATCTTCTACTTGTGATCGGTACATTTTCTTGAATGTACCCTGCAGACTCGCACAAGCTGCTCTGCTACAGAATCACTTTCACCATTGAAGACTTTCACGAATCCGGCCTTTGAGGGTTTACGATGGTTAAGGTGGTGACCTTGGCCAACATGCTGCCAAGACTGGGTCTACTTAGACAACCTGGCATCGTCACTGATGCTAAGGCCAGCTAGACCTTCAGCAGGCCGACAAGTGGGCTGCTTGCAATGTGATTTTGGAAACATGAAAGGTCGACAGGCACCAACAGAATCTCGACTTCATTTCTTGCTAGGCCTTTTGACACTGGTTCACATGGTCATGCTGAGTCATGCTCCTTTTGTGAGCTTGTTTGACCAGTCCTGGTGCATGAACAGCTGCGACAGGTTGCTTGCTGCGTCATTGTTGTGAAAACACAGACACTTCCAACCAAGCTCACCTACTCGATGAGAAATGTAAAACTTTGTACCCTAAGACCTAAAGATACAAACTGAACATAGCTGAACTAAACCAAGTTCAGACCAAAAGCGACTTAGCATCAGTTTCTTCAAGATGCTATGCAATAGCTGCACTCGCCAGCTTTTGATGATCCCTGTGGGAACATCTAGAAGGTGCTCGGTGTTGACGCTGCGATGCAGGTTGTTGATGTCGAGGTTGCTATGTCATTTCCTCCTAGAACTGACTGTGGAAGGCAGTACTTGCAACATCTCGCTGGTATGTAGTGAGGAGCGCCATGAAATCGCAAGGAAGCAGGCTGGTTTGTGTGAGCCAGCTGTGCGAGAAATTGGTGCGCCTGAGAGCAAAACCTGTTGCGCGACATTGTTGAGAGAACGCCTTCCATTGAAAGATGTCTCACTTTGCTCCTGCTCAGGGATCATGTCTGAAGCCGTTTTCGTGCCTACGACTGGATGTTTCACGCACCGGAGTCAGAGGGGCGAAGAACTTCCCCAAAAGTCTTGTTGAGATCGGCTTGTTGAGATTGGGGTGGCTCTGGTCTCGCCTCAAAACTGTTGTGCAGCTCTGAGCACGCGAACGCAGTAGATTTGGGCAAAAGTCGGATGGCGGAGAAATCTGAGATCCAATGGGTCTGGCTGGTAGAAAGTCTGAGATTCCGCACCCTTGCATTTTTTCCTCCCAGGAATGATTTCAAGATTTCTTATGGCTCTTGGAACATCTGCGATCGTGTGTGGGCGCCATTTGTTTGAAGTTGCTTTCTGCTTTACAACAGTTCTATGATGTATGTGTTATTGTCGCGCTCCCTGCGTGGCTTGCACTCTGGATGGCTTTTCCTCGAAAATGAGATCCTTTTGTTGTTTTGTGCTCCTGTTGGAACTTGTTCAGCCTACTTTTCTACACAAGCAACGGTGACAGGTTGTGTGCTGCTTGAATTGTGTTCGATTTATGTGGAACCCATATAATCCCAGGTATAATCTCAACAACAAACACCTCCCTCAGATACAGTGCTTCGTGTAGGTTGGTATTGCGGAAGAGGGAGCTTTGCTTAGCAACAAAAATTATTGGGGGCATGGTTCAGAGGTCTTCCATAGGTTGCTCATGTCCGGCGGTTTAGGGTTGCTTTGCTTGTAGGAGCGCCAAAGCCAAGGAGGAAACTGTTTTCACACGCGTCAGGCTGTCACAGACGAAATCACACTGAAGGAAGTGTTGGCTGCATTGCAGGAGACTTCAGTTGAATGTGCCAACCTTCATTAGAGAAAGGGATCCGCACACCTTGATATCATTTTATGCTCTTAAGATCAGTTCCTGAATGATGTAATGGTAGCGTCGAACCCCCAAATCTGTTCCAACTGGCAAGTGGTTTTCCTGTGGATAATGATGTTTCTCTCGGTGGAGTTTCTGAATGTTCTCACTCCTTGTGTGCCTTCATCCCTTTTCACAAGGAGCTGGAGTCCGCCAATGAAAGTGACCAAGAAATCAGCGACGCCACTGATGCCACAACGGGCAGCACCGGCGGGACTGTGTGCGGCTGAGTTGTCAGCTGGTTTGACGGGTCTGGGTTCGGCTGTGGAGCTGTCCTGGGTGCTTTTTCGTCGCAGCGCTTCATCGTCCAAATCAGTTGGCAGGTTTAGCAGCTGCGAAAATATTCAGATGATTGTGGAATGCTTCAAGAAGACTGTTATGATATTTCAATTTCACCCACCTCCCACAGCTGTCCAATGATCACCCAGGTCGATGGGGAGACCCAGGCGACGACCGAAGGGGATTGGGTATGAGAACAGAGAAACACATGCGTTGTCAGCATGGTCTCAGAAGAGGCCACCCCGACAAAAATTGCAGCAGGTCAGTAGAGGACACCCCAATGAACACAGGGCTTGTGGCCATTTTGGACCCCCAAAAATATTCATGACAAGATCGAATCGAGTTTCACATGAATCGAGAGGAACATTTCCTTAGAGAGTGGGCGGATAATTTCTACCCAGTTTCAATTAGTTTTTTTCCCCAAACAGGTTTACCTGTGAGGGGTTCTTACTCCTTTGAAAGGGTTGCGTGCCAGGCCTCATGATTTTACATTTGTCTCCGGGTGCGTTCCTGCCACGCTGCGATTGCTTTGGACGCATGAT